GAAACACTTCAATCTCCACTTTTCCCAATCGTGGTTCTCAATTTCCAAGATATCGAAGTTCTCATAGTGGACTTCAAGGCCATTCAGGAGCTGAACTCATGTTCCCTGATACTTCTCACAGAATAATCTTACATAGTCTCTCTTTGTGCCCACACAAGTCTCTATTTCTTTTTATCTCCCACATCCAGACTTTTGTTTCCCAGTTTTTAATCACTCTTTAAACTTCACCTGCTCCTCTAAGTCCTCTAATTAAGCAGAGCCTGATCTAGATGTATACTCAGCCCCACAGAGCCTGCAAGAGTTCCTATATTACTACCAGATGTGTTGGAGTATACTTGTACAGGCTTGTAGACACAGGAATAGACACAGAGCTGGTCAATCATTATAGTGCTTTCCTTTAAATTATAAAATCGTCAAAGGCAGACACCAAATCATTACACTCTAAAATGTGTCTCGGGAGCACAAAGCACTAACCTGTGTACACAATGCTTTAGGAAGATGTTCTCCAGATACCTCATGTGCACCCCAGAGTTCAAGTCACATAGAAGAAAAGGGAGCAAATATGGCTCTGGGTACCTTTTCGGCTCCTATCATCATTCATTTAATTTATACTTCCACCTCCAAAGAGTGGAAATGGTCAGTGAGTTAAGCAGGCACTCGCTTAAGTGGGCACAGAGATGTAAATAAAGGGAAAGAAAAACAGAAGACTAGCTTTGAAGTATCTCTGCAGTACCCCCTTTCCTAGGAACATACAAACCAGAATAACGAGATCTGAAGTTATACAGCCTACCAGATAGGAGGCAAGACAGATCCTAACACATCATGAAAACAGAATTGAACAAAACAAAACTTGCCTTGAAAGCACCAGCTGTATTGAGATCACAGTTAAATTTGAAAAGTGTACGACACTTCTCAGAACTCCAGGTGCTATGCTCAGAGAAAGGAGGGATGGTGACACCACTTTCTTTCTTACTGTTATTTTCAGGAATAACAAAACATACTCAGAAGTCAAAAGGAAAAATCTAGTTAGACTCTCACAACACATCAAACCATTGCCAAATTTTCAGAGTATACTAGTCTGTAAATTGTATATACCTTATAGACAGAGACTGGTACACCACAGAACTCAAGAGCAAAACCTGTTTACAAAATGTACTTTAACACCAGCTTCCAAAGTCAATTATAATTATAGTACTATCCATACAGAATGGTTTAATAAAGAATTCTTTTTTCTAAAATATTATCACAACCAAGTTTGGGAATACTACAATAAAAGCAGGAAGAAAACTCACTGAAACCACCTCTCTACTATGATAGGGCCAAAATTTTCTCCACCTAGCTGCCCAAAGCAAAACAAAAGCAAAAAACAAAAAACAAACAAACAAACAAAAAAACACCAAAACTAAAAAACTAGGAACTAGATGACTATTTCTGAAAAACCTACTATGTAATTATCCCATCTTTTCAAACTTTTAAAACAATAAAATTTTAGAATATGAAAGTGACATATGAAAATGGGAGATGTTGTCCTAACAACAATCTAAATTTTAACAATTCTTCCAAAAGAACTGTTTATCTTCAACTTCCAACTAGTAAACAAACCTCTCAGATTCACAGTTCTAGACAATGGCAATAAACTGGATAATATAGCACTAAAATTTCCAATTCTATTATTCTTTTAGCTTCGGAAGTACACAAATAAGGTGTGAGAAACATGGTCAGCCTTCCTGGGGTTGTGCATCACCTTTTTTGGTGGGAAAGCACCCTACCTCTGTGCAGCCTTCTTGGGTCCTATTCTTCCAGATAACTCTCTTGTCCAGAATATTCAGACTGGTAGAGACAAAAATCATCTCTCAGGCTGCGACTGTCCTTTATAAGAAGAAATTTTCTTCAACATCTTTGACTTTATGAGTAGACAGGCAAACCTACTAGATGGAAGGCAGTGGTAACATCTAAAGAAATAAACTATTTTGGCTTCTTCTTTGTGGTTAGTATGAAACACACACACATACACACACACAAGACAGGGGAACACTGACGGTCCTGAAGAAAACACTGAAGAATGATAAACCAAAGGAATAAAGGTGGCTATATCTTAAAATATACTCAAGGAGGCTGTTAAATTCACCCAAATGCGTGGCTCAGTGCCTAAACCAACATATACATCTGGTAATAATAAACACTGATAAGTCATAAACAAAAAGGGCTTTCTTAATTCAAAAACTCTAGAAGCTACTGGTATTAAAATTTACATAAAATACTATCAAATAGTATGTGTGAAACTGATTTTTTTAAGATAGTATTAGTAATTCAATTTAAATTACTAAGATGAAAAACTGGTATTTTACTGCCGAGTCTTCAAAACACTAAGAAGCCAGTATCTTTGATTTGACCAAGTTACAAATCTGTTTTCAGTAAACAGAGAAAACATACTGCCTCTGTTTAATGCAAAGGACAAAAAAGATCATCACTGCAAATCATAATGTTTGGGTTCATGATGAAAACAGGAAACAGACAGGCTGCCCAGGTATAATTATGGTTATAGTGTAATGTGCCTTCAGGTTCAGCCAAGAATTAAAACCCAGTGAAGAGTAAGCAGAATTTACTTGCCTCTACCTTGCTGCAGAAGGAAACTTTTAATAATACTTCCAGCAACATGTTACATAATCAACAGTAAACAACAATCTGATTCAAACCTCATTAGTAACAACATTCTGCCACTGTCTCCCACTGAAATTAATAGCTGACTTTGCCAGAAGGGAAAGAAATGCAACAGATATCAATCTACCCATTTCTATGGTGCCTACCTATGTGAACCAGACAAGTAGGAAATACCACCAAATCTGCATAGAATCTACAAAAATATTTTATTCTTCTCTTTTCCTGCAGTTCACCACTGGCTTTCCTCCTTTCTATTAGACTGTATCATATGGATGCATATAAAATCTAAGAGGAAGTGAGCTGAGGAGGTTCACCTAACTTTTCCTGCCTATTTGAGCTCTTTCAGGTCTCAAAAATGGAAGGATAAATGAGTAAATCTTTGTAACAAAGAGACACAGAAACATTGATGCAATAAAAACAGCTATGTGAAAAAGAAAGGCACACTGACTGAGGGATCCGCAATATAGAGGGAAAGAAAGGAGGATGTAATCATGCAAACAATCAAAACAAAAATTAAATTTTAAAAGCCTAAAACGTATTATGTACCACCTTTGTGAAGGTAACTTTCGTTCAACTGTCTGAGTTGTTCTGTATTCTTGTAATCTCAGGGTTCACCGCAGAGGGAAAGAAATAGCTACCAAAGAAGGAGTAAAGGGGAAAGGAAAAAAAAAAAAAGGAATTTGTACAAATGTGTAAATAATCCATTACTTACTAAATTTGGAACACACTAATTTCCTAACAGTATTCTGATCAATACATGTGAAACTGTCCAATTATGTCTAAGTACTGTTTTCCTTACAACACCCACTATGGCATTTACATCTAGCAGAAATTTTACCCTACGTGCAATGTCACTAAATCTACTGGGACTACGGGTTTTGAGCCTTTCAGATTTCAAATTAAATCTGAAAACTCACTCTGGGCAATCTGGGTACTCTATGGAAATTCAAGTACTCTAGTTTTTGATAACTTAAATCTATTTTTTTTTTTTAAAACAGCAACTCAAGAACACTTTCCTCTCAACTTCTGTGAAGCCAAGCCACAACCTCCACCTATCCAGCCATTGTTGCTAGATAAGAACACTTTTGGGAGTGCTAGGCAACACGCATGATGTGACAAACTCAACCAGACTTCAAAACTTTTTCCACAGAAAGATAAGGTAAACAAGATATACTTAGCACCACACCCATTTAAACGCACAAGCAGCCAGGAATGTTTCCCCCAACCCCCCTTCTAGACCTCCAGCTGGTCAGGAAACAATGTCTCTGCAATCAAGATAGTGATCTGGCCCAGGGTGTTCAGGCATTCCTCACCTCCAGGATGGCCTACAGCTCCATTCTCCAATGCCATCAAAAAACCAGAATTGGAACATTTTGTTAGAAATCGGGCACACGTCCAAATACCCGGGCTATCCTCGCCCCAATTCTTTTTGCAACCAAAATCTGTTTTGGGCTACTGAGCATGCTCCAACTTAAGACAGGCGCCACATGGGAGTTTTCAAAGCTTAGGCTCCAAACTCCACGTAATAACAGCAGCTGAAAGGGGAAGAGAGGGGAAAAGGAGGGGGAGGGGGAGAGGCCAGAGTATGAATTTGACTACTGATAACTAAAGTGAAAGACCCGGCAGAGACCGAATATGATGAAGGCAAACAGGCAGCCCGGCTGGGCATTCTCCTTGCACCAATGCAGAAGTTTACAAGAAAGGACAAGAAGTCTTTGCAGTGCTGAAAATGGGCACGGCAAGTGGCAGAAACCAGGTCTAACTACCAGCTGAGTGCAGTAGCAGGTCACAAGTGCCCAGAGTGTAATTCCCACCGATAAGCGTGGATCCTTATCTCTGAAACACAAAGCGACGGCGGCATAGATTCATCAAGCCACTGGACAGCTTTGCAGGGTAGCAGATCAGACGGCTCGACCGAGCTCGGCGATCCTACCAGGGGTGTGACTGAGGGTGGTGCTTAGAAGAGGTACAACAAACCGCTCCTCGGGACTCAAGCGGGGCCTGGGATCCCCCCGGGGGCGTCCGGAGCGCCTCGCTCCACAGTCCCGGCGGCAACGGCGACGCAGGGACCAAGGCCAGCCTACCAGCCTAGGGACGCCCCCGGCCGCAGGAAGGCCTCCGCAGCCTGACGGGCCGCCCCATCCTCGGCCGCTCGAACCTCTGCAGGCCGGGACTCGGCCTACCTCCCGCCCCACAGGCCCGGGCGGCTTCCGTTCCGCCAGCGGCCCAACGCCCCCGCCTCGGCCTGACTCCAGCCCTGAGGGCGAGCGGCGTTCGGGAAGAAGCTGCAGTCCCCGGCCCCGCTCGCCCGCCCGCCCCAGGGCCCCGCACTCACTCACCCGCCGGCTGGACGCACTCCCCCGACGCCGTCGCCGCGCTTCCCCTCAGTGCAACTTTATTAGCAGCTCGGCCGCGGGACACGCGCACGGCGCCCGCTCGCCCAGGACCCGGATGAGGGAGGGAAGGAGCCGGGGAGGACGCCGCTGGGGTCCGCGCATGCGCGCGAGAGCCCGAGTGACCGCTGCGAGGCCAGAGAGAAGCAAGCCTCTGCGCTTGGCTCCGTGTGGCCAAGCCTGGCTTCAGATCCGCCTGAGGCTCTTGTGGCTTATGGCCAGACCCAGGCGTGGGAGTCGGTGAGCTCCCACCGCCACAATGGCCGCTAGTAGTCTCCATTAACCAAAGTAACCCACACTGTAAGAAAATAAAACTATTGCTCTGGATAGGGACAGTTGCAGATTTTCTCAGTCACATAAAAACTGTAGAAAAATCTTAAGACACAAGTTTGCTACTTTTATTGACTTTTTAAAGTAACTATATAAATCTAAGTGAAGCGAATCCTCTTTCTATGAAAACTAGCTTCAAAATAAACTGAGCAGCAGCCCTAGAACCCCTCCCATAAAGAAATCCTGGAGCCTCTGCTGTCCCCCAACCCCTCTAGCAGGGCCTGAACTTGGAGTTCCCCAAATTAGGACTGTCCACGTATTGGGAGATCAACCCCAATAGTTCAAGATACACACACTCTTCCGGACAGGTGAGGCCAATGAGGTGCCCAAAGGTCACCTGTAGGCTGGCATCCCTCCACTCGGCCTCCTGGGGCAAGAACCTAAGTCTCTCCCTTAGTAATTGCGCTCTTTTCCTTGCTCTTTTCCTCAAAATTCCGCCAAAGCGTCAGTCTTTCCTAGAATATGATAGTGGCACCACCTAGGGTGTCCAGTTTGAAGAGTACTAGTGAAGGAAAACTTTTAAATAATTTTGTTCTCATTCTAAAAGTTCAACCCGGGTTTTCCAGTACTCCGCCGTAGGTTTCCTTTTTCAGTCAATTAATCTAAGTAAAAATCAAAATTGGAGTCATTTCCAAATCTTCTCCCTCATAGCCTAATTCTATCCATCATGAAATCTTATTAATTCTACCTTCAAAATATATGCCAAATCTGATTTCTCACTGCTTTCTATTATCACCTCCATGGCCTGAGCCAGCGCCCTCTTGCACAAATGGGCAGCTGCTATTTTGACCAGGGCTTCCACAGTTTGTTCCCATGGTGAAAAGACTAAGTAAATGTTGCAAAAGTCTCTGCAAGAGAAGTGGCCATCTTGAATGGGACAGGGGCCTGGTGAGGAAGTGCAGTGGGCCAGGGTGGGGGGACCCAACAGTGCACATTCTGATCAAAGAGGCAGCTGCTGCTCCAGTCCAGCCAACTGCCACCATGGGGAAATTGAATAAGGGCCCGTGTTGGCAGATCTTCTGATTTTTCAAAAACAGCTGGAAATCTGGATGTTAATGCAAAAAAATCTCACTTTTATATGCTTAGCGACTTCGTTCATTCTTTCTCGCTTTTTCTCCCTTTCTCAGACATTCAGGAGGCTGATCCTCTACAAGCCAAGCCAGAAAAAGCCATGGTCCCAATTTAGCCTACTGACCATTGGTGTGCAGTCTCAGGTCTACGTCTTAAACCTCTTTACTACGTCATAAATTTGGTGAAAGTAAAGTCTGTGTACTTTAACTCTTTGTCAGGCTCACTGATTATATGTTGGTAATTCAGAAGTTTCCAGTCCTTGGAAGGCACATATTTCTGGAGCCTGCATGAGTTTACAGCTCCCAGAAGTGCCCATAACCCTGCCTTGGAGGGTGCCTTTTATTTTTTTTCTTCCAGAACTAATGTTTGCAGAGTGTTTTGTTGAACGTTGTAAGACATAACAATTTGGTTTAAATATTTTGTGTACTAGAGCCATTCCACAGTTCAAACAGCCAATAAAATCCTCCCCAAAACCATTTGCTGTCTCGCAGTCACCGCATATTATGCAAGGAACAATTTGTGATTGCAGGATACCTATGAACGCTCACATCGGTAACCTCAAAGCCAACAGTTTTGTTTCCTGCACTATGTGTTCACGTACTGATCACAGCAGGAAGAGACTCCAACCTCTCCAAGTGGCTATGTGGGCTCAACTTAGGTCTGGAGTTGGAAGAGATAACATAGAAGGAGAAATAGAAACTTTAAGAGCCTAAAAGATGCCTCCCCAAGAATGAAAAAATTACCCAGACTCATAGGATATAGAAAATCAGACAGATCACTAAAGGTCTAGATAGTCAAAAAGATTATCAAACAGTCAATGAGATGGCATGCTGAAGCCCTAGGAATGGAGTAAGGAAGTTCCTATTTTTAACAATCGAATGGATTCTAAAAACAAATGTAGAATGGGCTAATCTGAGCAAGTATATATAGTCTCTGTGGGACATCAAAATAGATAAACTGATTTTTCAGTTTCGCATTCTCCCATGAGGATCAGATAAAAGGAGCTTCAATCCTCAATCTTACTTTATTTGTAAAGAAATCCATTTGTGGATAATATAGGCCAGTGCTTCTCAACCAGGGGTGACTGTGCCCTCCTCCCCAGGGGAATATTTGGCAATGTTTGGAAACAATCATGACTGTGGCATCTAGGAGGGTGGTGCTAATAGCCTTTACTGGGTAGAGGTCCAAGAAGCTGCTAAGTCCTGCGCAATATACAGGACAGCCCCGTTCTACCAAGAGTTATCTACCCAAAATATCAGTCATGCTGAGGTTGAGAAACCCTGTTTGAAGTCCCAAATAGGTTTTCTTTAATTGAATTGATGTTTAGGGAAAAAATGAGCCTTTTCTTTTTATTTCTAAAAATAAATAAAAATAATTGTTTTAGCTGTTCATTGGGTGGAACAAATCAGCCTTAATGTTTAGCCCACGACCTACTCCCACCTTGAATTTTCCAGAACCAAAAAGAAGGTAATTTTCAGGGAAGATGAAACCATCTATGGAACACAAAGAATTGGAATAGTTAACTCAGTCTTTCCATATTCTTAACTTTTAATTTAAGATTTAGTGTAATTGAGGCAAATTGGTTTTGATGTCAGTATCCTTAATAAATATGACAATTTTATCCTTTGCTCTAGCTCTGAAAATTCTCCCTTAACAACCAGTGCACACCCAGTAAAATTGGAAGAATGCGATGATGTCTGGAGAAGTCACCCAGTATAGATGCATCGGTGACCACAGAGATCTATAAAGATCTATAAATCCTACCTAGTAGCCACCTCAAAGACTCCCACTTCCTGAAACAGTCAAGGCAAGTGGACAGGAGAGGAAGAAATGTCTGAGTTGGAGTGACTCCTCTGGACAGTGTCCTGGAAACAAAAAAGGTAACTTCCCAAGTTCTAAACATTCTGTATATGTTCTTAAACTTGACAGACTAGCCCCGCCTCCAATCTTAATATTAGAAACAGTGCAGGAGGCAGAGCTAAATGCAGAAAAGCGTGAGAAGAGTGAGCTTCCAAAGAAATGGTATACAAAAAAATCCGAGAGAGGGGCACCTGGGTGGCTCAGTCCATTAAGCGTCCATTTTTTCTTTTAGCTCAGGTCATGATCTAATGGGTTGTGGGATTGAGCCCCGCGTCAGGCTCCTCACCCAGCGTGGAGTGTCCTTATCCCTTTCCTTCTGCCCCTCCCCTGCTCATGCTCCTTCTCTCTCTCAAATAAATAAAATCTTTTAAAAAAAAATCTGAGAGAAAAAAAATCATTATGTTAAAATTCTCCAAAGAAACTACACGTTACTGTTTAACAGAACAAGCCACGGGGTTCTGTGCAAACCAGAGAGTACACTAAACTGATTTTATGCAACATTTGAAAGGTTATCCACCACCACCACCGCCCACCCCCCGGTAAAATCTGAGTGTTCTGGTACAAAATTATCCCTTAATAGTCCATAGACCCTTTATTTTCATAACTCAGATGTCAAGAATCTTAATGTATTCAAAAAGAAAGAAAGAAAGAAACATAAGAAAAAAGAATGACAGCTGCCTCTCCTGGAGGCCCAGGACTATCCAGGCCATGGACCCCTTGAAGCTCCAGGGAGAGGTATGAGAGACCTTGTGACCCCCTCATCCCCTGGAATGAATATGCACATTTTTGTGTATATATCTATGTACACACTTTCTGCAAAAAAAAAAAAAAAAAAAAATCCAAACTTTTCATCAGCTGCTCAAAGGTTTGCCTGACCCCCCAAATGTTTGCAGATGCTTAAAGCAGTGGTAACTTTCCGTGTGGTGTAAATTTAATGTGTCCATTTGAAGTCCTCTTCTCTTCTCTCTTTCAGAGCAACATAATTGGGAGATTCCTCTCAAGGGAGGGCTGCTGGATGCAGAATTCAGGAACCTGGCTTGTCTGCCTGCAGCCATCTGCTACATTAAAGAAGGCCTCCTATGGCTGGAATCCAAAACACAAAATTAAAAGGGTCGCTTGCACCCAGAGTCATAAAACAAAGAGGCTTTCTAAAGCAGGGCTTGGAGTGAACGCTCGTTTCTTCCTGACTTAAACAGCATCTGTTCCTCCTGACAGCAAACACCCTCCGAGTTAATTCAGCTGAGCTCCCCAGTTCTACATTCTCACTTTTCATCCTCAGAGATGTGGTCTCAGATGAGCCAGACCACATGTGCCCCCTGCCCCAAATCCAGAGCAGCAGGTAAAAATCTGGGAATGCTATAGAATTGGGGAGAGGGGAAGGAGACAGAAGTTCACGTTCTCTAGAATGCCTTTTAAGTGCCTAAAATCTTGGTCACCTGAACTCTGAAGCCAGACTTCCTCGTTTGAATACCGACTGTCTCCCGTACTCCCTGTGTGACCTTGCACAAGTTCCATAGCCAATCTGTCTCTTAGTTTCCTCATCTGCAAAATGGGGATAAGAGTAGGATCCAATTAACAGAACTGTTACGAGGATTAAATGAATAGAAACTTGATAGACACTTAGAACCAAACCTGGCACACAGTAAGCACAATAGAAGGCATGTGTTTTCACCGCTACACCAGCAACCTCTACAACACTCTTAGCAAACTCATTTGTTGCATAA